ACTTCTTCAGAAGAGTTGAAGAGGTATATGGAATGGAATAAAACCGTAGGAAGAGGAATTTGGAACGGAGTCAAAAATATTGGTAAAGAGTAGGTCAGTTTAGTTGGTATTATACCTAAAGACCCTGAACCAGAAGAACAAGCTCCTGTTATACAACAGCCTGAACCTGCACCACAGTCTAGTTGGCTAACCAAATCCAACACCTCAACCGTATTAAAAAATTATATTTTTACCGTTCGATAGTAGTTGTATATGAAACTAAGTTCTAAGTAAAATGCATGGTATAATGGAATTATTTTTTTCTTCCATCTGTAGTAAACCATACTTGAAGTCTGAAATACTTCCACTTGGTGGTTCGTATAACTTTGTAGGTTTTTTCGTAAAAGTCATTGCCAAGCATAAGAAAGAGTTTTGGGCGCCAGAAAATGAAGCATGAACAATAATAGCAGCTGGGTCGAAAACATTTTATATGTTCCATTAGGGTTTTCGACTTCATAAAAGTCTGGGTGTACTGGATATGCTGCAGGCTGATTTAACATCCTCATAAATCTATACCATGCCAAGTTGTTATATTTTGTAGAAATATAAACGTTTCTCCAAGGTCTTCTATTCTATTGATTTTAACAGTTGCATTTTTCCTGTCATAAATAATATCGAGATGGTACTCTCCTTCGTCAATGTTATACTGGTTTGCATATTCGATATAGATATCGTTTATTTTTTCTTGAAAAGCTTGAAGAGTTGTTTCTAAGTTACAAGCAAACTAACTTGTAAAAGTTTTCCCTGTTCAAATTTCTCATACATACGTTTTTCTTTGTTATAGTATCGAACTTCAAAACCGACCGTAAATGGGAAACCATGTATGGCTTCTGAAATGAACTTCATTCTACGAAAGCCAATAGCTTTTGTGACAGATGGGTCTCTTAGCCATCTTAATGGGTAGTCAAAACGATAGCCTTCATGCTTTACGGTCTCTGTTCTCAAACTTTTGACCGACATTAGTAAAAAGTTCATCTAATGGTTTAGTTGTAGCAACTCTTGAATTTTCTTTTTCTATTGGAAGCATATTTTATCTAGAATAAAAATGTCGAAAGATATTGCTTCCATGAGAGAAATACAACACAACCGACAACTCATTATGCAAGCTCTAAATAAGAACACAACAAACTTTTCAAACTATTCTAAGATATCTGAGTCATTGAAAGAAGGAAACTTAAAACTGACATTAAACCCAATGACAGATGAGTTTCTATTTCAAGACAAGAAGAACAATACTGTCTGTATAAATCCAACAAAAGGAACTTTAAACGAGAAACCTATAAATGAACTTCTTTTGAAAGCAGATGTTGACAACAAAGCTGACAAAGAATATGTAGACGATGCAATAGCAAAAGAAAAGAAAGAGCTAACAATGCTTATGCAACAAAAGAACATACTCATCCTGAACTAGCAGACAAAACATATGTTGACAATAAATGTCAAGTGAAGTGACAAGAGCTGAAAACGAATATTCTAAAAAGACTCATACACATTCTATATCTGAAATAACAGACTTAAACGTTAGCCTTGAAAAGAAAGCAGATAAGGAATATGTGGCTAGTAAGTTAGAGAAGAAGCGGATAAGGAATATGTGGATGAAAAAGATAACGAAATGAAAGAAAGGGTTGACTGGTACCATGAATGGACATCGAAGACTTTTAAAGTTAAAGCCGATACAGGATGGGTTTCAGGATGTTTAGACCTTAAAGCAGATAAAACTTATGTTAACGATGAGTTAGGAAGAAAGCAGACAAGAACCATACACATACAAGTTTTACAACTGTTGCTATAGAAGTATTGAAGGAACGGTTGAAGAAACTGGTGGGGATGCATATATTGTAAACCTCCTAACTTTCCACAAGGTTTAACATCGGATGACGACATAACGACGATGAGAAACATTAGATGTAAAGATGTTTATGTCATGAAGGATGAATATAATACTAAATTCACTGCTCAAGATTTATATGACAAGGAAAGCAGACAAAACAGAGCTTCAAACATTAAAGACAGAAATGCTTCAAACATTATATCCTATAGGCTCTTTTATACGTCAATGAACTCTACCAGACCAGAAACAGTTCTGGTTTGGAACTTGGACTCAAATAGTTGACAGGTTTTTGTATTGTGCAAACTCTTCAAAGGAAACAGGAGGAAGTAAAACGATTTCAGGTGAAAATTTACCTGCGCACAGTCACTACATAGATTTAAGTACATCTCAAGCAGGTTGGCATAAGCATAATTTTGGGATTGGTCAGCAATGAAAAAAGGTAAAGGATATGATGTTAAAGACGACGTTCAGTTTGCTATAAATTGTTTCTGGGGTGACACTCAGGGAGATGGAAACCATACACATCGCGTTTCGGATATACGCAAACAACGGGACAAAGTAAAGACTACATGCCACCTTACATGACAGTTTACGCATGGTATAGAATTGCTTAGTCGTCATTTTCAACTTCTTTAGCATATTCGTCAGGAGTTGTCTTATATTTGTTAGGAACTGTCTTTGAAAGTATACCACCTTGAACTTTGACAAGTTTGAAACGAGGTCTGACAATAGTCGTTTTATCTTCTGCTTGCAGTGTGTACATTTTGCCATGTTTGCCTAAAACTTCATAATATTCTCTTGTATACTTTCTTCTATTTTTACGAACACGAATGTGAGTACCTGTCGGGTTCCCATTGTTGTCATAGTCAATAGTATTTTCATATGGGTTCGCGTTTAGGTATTTCTATTTTCATTTGTCGCCTTTCTGAAGTTTGAAGCCCGGCATTCTTTCTTGTTTGTCTCTTTGACTAAATTATTAAAATATATAGTCTTTCTCTAAGTCAGGGTTGTTTTTCATTTCTTCGGGGGAGTGGTTTCCCAAACCTTTTTGTTTACGGCTATTGTAAATATTTAAAACTTGTCTCATCTTTGCCATGGAGAAGTGTCTATATTTGTCGTCATATGACATTTCATTTGCTTCACCACCTTGTGGTTGGTTTAAGTCTCTTAACATTTTTATACAACCGTCAATGACACCAAGAGCAGAATGGTTTTGGTCGACAATGAAATATTGGTTTACATTTTTTGAACGCAGATAGTTTTTTACATCATCTGATTTGAAAGAACTTTCACAGTCAGATGTCAGTTTTGTTGGATGGTATTTGTCAACGAATATTGTCAAAGCAGTTTTCACATCTAAAATATTTTTGGACCATAATGGTATGGCTTCACAGTATCTTGTGTTTTGACCGACAAATATTAGCCAGTATGGTGGTCCATCTTCTCTATACCTCGGAATGTTTTCCAAGATATCCATAAACCAAGCATTTGGTGTTGAACTAAAGATTTTTTATCATGAGTGCTTTCTTTGTTGCCTTTAGAAACATAGGGGTCCTTGTTTGGATTCGTCATTTTTTAACCCATAAGAAATGGGTTTATTTGGCGCATTAGCAGGAGTTGCATCCAGATTTTTGCCCGCAGTGGGAACAATAGCCAGAGGTGTATTTGGAGTTGGAAGGAAGATTTTGAGTACATTAGGTATACTTAAAGAGAAAGCACAACCTATTATACAAACTGTACAGAAAGGTTGGGATGTAGCACGAGATGCAACAAATCTTATTCCAAATCCTGAAACAAGAGGAAAAGTTCAAGGATGGATGGACAATGTAGGAAGACAAGCAGGAAACTATTATAACAAAGCAAATGACTACTATAACCAAGCAGGACACTATATGGACCAAGGTGAAAGATTCTTTAACAGAGGATATAACCATGCACAACAATGGGTAAACAATAACCAACCTCAACCGCCTCAAACGTGGGGAATGTAAAGTTTTTTACTGAGATGAAATGAACAATACAGCATTGAGACAAATGGGTTCAAGATGGATTTGTCGGCTTCCAGCAGTTACACAACGTGTTTGTCAAGTTCTTCCTATACCTCAGGAAGTTTTAGACCGACTTAAAAAACAACAACAACCAGTTGAAAACAAACCAAACTAAAATTTTTTACTGAGATGAAATGACCGAAGAAGTTGAAACGGTAGATTTGACACCACAAACAAAAAGTTCAGAACCATTGTCAAAACCTGTCAAAGAACTTACAGATGAAGAGAAAAATTCAATAATAGAAAGTGCCAGGTCTGGAAATACAAACCCTAACTATAAAGTCACTTTTCATAGAAATGGAACGGCTAGTATCTCAAAAAAGAAACAGACTCTCACAAATAAAATATTGAAGTCTGAAGGAGCTTTCGAGACAACAGATGGAAAAGTTTACTTCACTGACCAACAGTTCATTATAGAACATCTCATTGACTTAGAGTCGAAATATTCTAAACTTTACAACAAACACAAAAAGTTGAAAGGAAAACAAAAACAAATGGCATATGATATTTATGAAGATGTTGACAACACAACTGTTCCTGCAGTGAAGTAAAGTCAGAGGAACCGAAAAGTGACGAAAAACCGATAGAAGAAGAAAAACCAAAAACTGAAGATAAACCAAAACCAAAGTTTAGTTTAAACTAAACCAAGTCAACCTTCATTAGCTGGTATGGGTTGGCGTCAAAGACTTATGGCAGCAGGCGGTTATGTTAAGTAAAGAAAAAAACATTTTTTTATTTTTATAAAAATGCCCCCATATAGAATGGATAGAAAGTCTGCTAGAATAAAAGCAGAGTTGCAAAGATATGGTTGGAGAGTTTCGAAGAATTTAAATATAGGAAGGGAAGACCCATAAAAGTCTATGACAAACTGGCTGGTCGCTACGAAATGGATTTGGAAACAGCACGTGCCAATTATCCAAACAGACTAGAGAGGTTAGAAGAAGAACGTCTTATGGACATGCCTTTCGATGTTAGTGAACCTCAAGTTGAAGGACACGACGGCTTTGCCAGATTCTACTGGAAACATGACGAACAATTGCATCCTTTGAGAAGGAAAAAAGGAGGTGAAGATGCATGCTCCCATGGAAAGAACAAGATATGCATATGAAAAGTATCGTGAAGTTAGAAGTCAAATTACATCTGGTCGAACCTTTACAGTAAACTTTGACGAAGGAAAGAACAAAGAAGGCTTCATGGGTGTACTTGCTGCCATACAAGACGGAAATAAGAAAGGATACAATCTCAGATTGACCATAACAGATTTGGATGGTCACATTTACTATGCAAATGGCAATGAACAAACAGCTGCAAAACTTCTTGACGCTTTCAAGACTACAAAGAGAGAACAAATGGTTGACTCCGACTCAGACATTTTGAATGCAATTGAAGGAATTGCAAGTGTCAAGTTCGAATGGTACCAACCTAACCCTCAAGCAGTCAGACAACATGCTGGATACTTCCCGTTCATAAATAAGTCTGACATTGACTTGACAAGGTATGGAATTTACAATTCAATTGAAACAATTGTCAATGAACCTTGCATTCTTACATGTCTCAGGAACTCTGGTCTTGTTACAGATGAGAAGATGAAGTATCTTGAGTCATGTGTGAAGACAAGGTACATTCTCAGAGGTCAATTGGCAAAAATTGCACCGTTGGCAAATGTCAATATCCGAGTCAACATACCTACAGCTAAAGGTTCTTCACATGACGACTATGTTGTTGAGTTCAATTTACCATGGTTGAAGATTGTAATTGTCCACAACCACTTCATGTTGAACGAAAGTCTTACAAACCCATTGTTCGGAAAAGGCAAGTGCAACATTGTCAGAGCTGTAAACATTCTTTTCGAGAAAGGTTTGTTGGAACCAATTCCAGATGACAAGCTGACAGAAACTTTTGTACCAAAAGACGAAACAAACTTTTCACTGTTAGCAAGACCAAAAGTTGTTCCAGACAAAGTTCTAGTACAAAAGAAGTACACAATTCCACAAGGAGTTGGATTGTTCGGATACCAACCTGAACCAGAAGAACTTCCAATGAGGTTGCAAGAACTTCAAGATGCTATAAACAAACTTCCATTGAGACATCCAATTGACGTCAAATTGTATTGGAGAGCATCTGAGTTAGGTCAGAAGGTTTTATATGAAACAGGTTGCTTCGACGATGTTTATGAGATAACAGGAGAAGTTTCTCAGAAGATAAGAGACTCACTTGAATTTCCACAAACTGGACCAATTGGTTGCGACAAGTTCGACTCAGATGAAAAGATATACTATGTCGACCTTAACGCTGCATACATGAGGTTTGTCCAATATATTCCGACTGGAATTCCAAACGAAGATGGTGAGTTCCCGGGAAGGAACTATACAGTTGGAAAAGTCATACAACAACTGTATGATATTAGGAAAGCTTCAAACCCCAAACTTGCAATGACACTCAAATTGCTTATGAATTCGACATGGGGATATTCCATTAAGAAACCTCAAGAGATGAAGAGTAAACATTATGAGAAGGTCGACAACTTTGTTGAAAGGTTTTCTCCTTTTGTTTTGAAGTACGAATTCACTCAAGGTCAAAGTGGCTTAGTAACCACATTAAAACCTATTGTCGAACATTGGTCTTACCCTCAGTTCGCAAAGGCAGTCCTTGACAACTACAACAAATTCTTCTCCGAAGTCAAATCGAAAGTGTGGTTTACTATGAGAACATTGACGCACTCATGACGAACGAAGAAGGTACAACAAACTCATTGAAATGGGATGGTCGGTGAGAAGATGGGTCAATTCAAATTGGACAAAATTTTCACCGAAGTTCATGTCCTCTCCAAGCGTAAGTACTGGGGCATACTTGAAGACGGCACAGAAATAAAACATTGCATGAAATAAAAAATTTTTATTCGAATTTGAATTAAAATGTGGGAATTCTTGGGAACGGGAAAGGCTTATTTACTTGAGGAACAGGTAAAGGTGGTGGAGGTGGAGGTGGTGGCAACCAGTCCATTTTATATTCCTTCCTAGCTAATTTCCGTTTAATTTCATGGTCGCCCTCGGAGTCTTTGAATCGGACAGGTCGAGTTACACCATTCTTGGTCTCAAACTCATATATAACCTGTTTGTCTGTATTTTCGTCGACTATGGCACGAGACACAAACATTGACCAAACGGACAAAAAGTGTCATTTCGGATGGTCACGCAGCCAATCGCATTCGAGCACTTCGAAGAAGCCTTACGTTCCAAGGGAGAGGGTGTCTGGTGCAAGGCAGAGGTCATGAAACTCTACGAGCAGTACATCCTCAATGCCTGGGAGGACAAATCGTCCTTGGATTGGCAATTCTACCAACTCCTCTGGGACGACCTCCTACGCAACTGGGATAACGAAAGAGTCCAATTCAAAGGTCAGGAACTAATTTTGCAAATTACCTTAATTTAACATACTTATCCAAATAAACACCTAAATTTACTTGGGGTTTCCCCCTAAAATAAAATTTTTTTACTCTTAGAACCACTCGAGGTTCTCCTTACGGTTGTTGAGCTTGTCACCGTCAATGTGTCTGACCCTCGTCTTCTTGTCTGGATTTGGAACCCATTGAATTGCGACAAGCTTGCCCATGGAAATTGAACCGCGATTCCGAAGGTTAAGGTTCAAGTGTCCCAAGTTGTTGAGGACTGGGGTAAGAACCTTGCCGGTCTCCTTGTTGCGGATTTGGTATGGGTAGGGTTGGGAAATTTCGTAAGTGTCATCGGCAACAAGGGTTGCCCATGTAGCGGCTTCAGGAACTTCTTCTTCTTCCTCTTCTTCCTCTTCTTCCTCTTCTTCCTCTTCTTTGATAATACCTTCGGCAATTCTGTGTTCACGAAGTACGGTGTTGCATGTTCTGTCCTTTCCGAGTACCTTCCAGATGGCGTCTATCTCTTCGAAGAAACGGTAGATGAGTCTGGCAAGGTCTCGGTTCTCTCTCGCGTAAATGCGCAAGGTTTCCGTGAAATCGTTCAGGCGTTTCTCATTGGAAGCTTGGTTCATGAGGACATCGGCTTTGAGATTGGTCATCTCTGTCATAAGACTACTTTGGAGAGTCTTAATGGTGTTTGTCAGATGAACTTTCAATTGGGCAATTTGAATTTGAACTGGGCGCTTGTCTGGCAACCATGAAAGGACATCTGCTATTGTGTTCGGCTTCGGTGCTTGTTCGGACATCGAAAAAATGAAGTGGTTTGAGAATGGCGGTTTTACTTCAAAAAGCTTGTTATGACAGTTATGTCATACAACAAGTTTAAAATAATATCTTGTTCTTCTTCTGAACGTTTGTTGTCTCTTCCGATAAAAGTTTGGAACATGAGAACCAAAAAACGTTTTTTGAGATTGCGGAAGAGTTCAGGCAAACGTTCATATTCCGGATATGTTGGGAGCAGTTCGAAACATCTGAGCTGACTTTCGGACAAAATTGGGACAATGTCAGAAAATTCATCTTTGGTCGGACTGCTTGAAGGTAAGTCCCTTACATGTAAGTAGCTCTGGTAAAGTCTTCTCATTTCTGCTAACTTTTGGAGTATAGCTTCGTAGTTTAGAAGTTTTAATTTTAATTGTCTTATTCCACTCTTGACATCTAAACGGTAAGTATCCATGAGGTCAAGAGTAGCTTTGGTAGCTTTAAGTGGAGCTATCTGTTCCTTGACTTGTGCAATTTTGGTTGCAATTGTGGTTTGAGCTCCTTCAAGTTCGCCGTCTATGTCGTTCTCAACGCCTTCAACCATGGCTTGAAACTCTTCATCGGTCCATTGAGATTGGTGTGGGACGAATTTAACTTGCTTCATTCAAAAAATGAAAAAAATGTTTTTACTCTAAACGTTAAGGTTTACTGAACTGGTTGGATGTCGCCTTCACAGGTTATGTAGAACGGCTGACCCGAGAAGTGAAGGAGACCCTTGAGAATTTGGCTCATTCTTGGGAAAGGGTTCTCTCTGTTTGGAAGTAGTATCCAAGGACGCTTGGCAAAGAACTTGAGAAGAGCTTCTTTCTTTGCTTGCTTTATGTCGTCGTAGGCTGTCCCGTCTGGTATTTGAATTGGAATTCCAGTCGAAGTCTCGAGATTCAAGGCAGCCCTTCCCGTTATCCAACAGTTAACAAGCTTGCCTTTTACATTCTGCCTGAGGAAGTCTTTAACAAGCTCGTTAATTTCAATTAGGTAAATTGCCTCGTCGGTAGGTTCGACCTCGACCATTGCTACTGTCAGAAAAAGTACTGCTACTGTCAGTAAAAGTACTGCTACTGTCAGAAAAAGTACTGCTACTGTCAGTAAAAGTACTGCTACTGTCAGTAGCAGTACTGCTAGGAGCAGTAAAAGTACTGCTACGAGCAGTAAAAAGGAAAATTTGAGAGGGTTTTCGACGATAAAGTACTGCTACTGTCAGAAAAAGTACTGCTACTGTCAGAAAAAGTACTGCTACTGTCAGTAAAAGTACTGCTACTGTCAGTAGCAGTACTGCTAGGAGCAGAGATTTTTATCGTTGTGGTCCGACGGTTAAGCCACAAACGAATGTCCGACGTCCCACCAACCGAGCCCATTCCCAAACCAGAGGAACCTAAAGCACCAGCCCCTGCACCTCAGTTCCAGCAAGTCCCTCCACCAAATTACTACCAATTTCCACCTCAAGGTTACTACCAATTTCCACTACAAGGCTTCCCGAACTACCCTCCTCAGCCTATGCCTTACTTCCCCAACCCTTGGATGTTCCAGCAAGCTCCACCCCAGCAATTCCAATCTCAATCTCAATCGAAGAGAGACCAAGACTTCGAAGAAGGTCTGAACCGTTTACGCAAAGATTATGCCACAGCCCCTATGGAAGACGACAGGCTTTCAGTCTCTTCCCTCAAATCGACCGATTCGACTCGTACCACAGATTCGGTTCGTGACCGTGAAGACTACCTCAAGCAGTCTGAGAGACTCTTCATCCTACAATCATTTACAACTGGAGCTCTCAAGAACATGCGCAATTACGAAGGTCAGACACCAGCTGGAGACCGCAAAACAGACGTACTCGCAAGAGCCGTCCAGCTCGTCAAAACAAAGACTGAGATAGTCGACTTCATTCTTGCAGCTTGCCCTTACAAGTAAAAAAATAAACAATTACGAATTAAACTTTTTACTCTTTCTTTTCTGAGTTGTTTAGAGCTGGTTTCTCTTGTAGAAACCTTTCGTACTCTTCCATGGTCATGTAATTGCGAATTTGGTACGCAATTCCAGGTTCGTTGTTTTTGAACCTTACGTATGTAACGCTTCCATCCTCCTCAGGGAAGTAAGCTGCTAACATCTGACCAAGTTTTCTCGGTGACTCGGAGCTCATTAAAAATGTCACTTTTTAAACGTTAAGTTTTTAGTCTTATTTTACCCTTTGTTTACCCTTTGTTTGTCAAGGTAGTATTGGAGTGCAATTTCTCCAAATTCTCTGTGTCGGAGTTCTTCAGCATTTTCCAAGGTGTTCCTGGAGAACTCAAAGAAGTTGTCAAGAACATACTGCCATGCTGCTCTTCTGAGTTCGTCGGTATTTTGGAAGTGTTGCACCTTCGAGTCTTCGGACATGAAAAAAATGACACTTTTTCTATTAAACCGTTTTGGCATTTCTCATGAGTGAGTATAGTTCTGCCGAACCATTGGAAGAGAAGAAGTACCCTTGCTGGCAAAAGACAAAAATAGTTGCCTTAGTTGTCATTGCAATTGTACTCGTAATTGAATTCATTGTACTTCTCTTCACGTACATAAAACTCAGCAATGGTATTTGCTTTAAGAAGCTACCATCTTACTAAGACTAAACACTTAGATTTTTCAAGCTTGACTTTTTACAATTTGAATTTTGTTGCTGAATTCAGCAAAAATATAATTTAGGGTAGAAGGTTAGATCTAACCTCTTTTCTAACCTGTTTTCTACCCTCTTGAATTTTCATGAATTTTCCCGAAATAAAAAATAAAGTTAGTTTTTTTAAAAAAATATTTTTTATTTTTATTGTAAGAACATGTTAGCAACAACAGCACCAAACTCGTTAGTCATGAACCCAACGTCAATGTTAGTAGAGATGAAAAGCTTCATTCCTTCTTCATATACTTTTGAAACAGAAATCCAGAAGATAAAGCAAGAACTTTTAACAAGTAATTTAGACTGTAGTGCGAAAGATGAAACAAATGAACAGTATCTTTATGAAATGCAGGACATTATTGACCATTTGCCTAAACTACCTGAAATCCAACAACAAAAACTCACTATTCCTGAATTCGACGAAATTGAAGTCAAAGCAACTGACTCAGTAGAAATAAAGAAGTTCATACGAAAGGTAAATTATGAATTCCTTGGTTTTCATTGCAACCATAAAGTTATGGACAAAGATTGCGACATGGTATATAAGAATGTTTCTGACATATATAAATTTGAAGAATTTAAGACCTACGACAACTTTGTTACATTAGTTGCTGAATGTGTATGGCAGATAAGAGATGAAGATAGAAGAGGTAAAGTATGGAACAAACAAATAAGACCCGCTATGTTTGAGATGAAGAGAGCAATTGACGCTTTAGTTGTTTTAGCTGGTAAGGTTTCAGAATATAACGCAAAAATGAACCCGCAATGTTCTAAATGTAAAGCAGCAATGAGGAAATATAACTACTCCGTCAAAGAGATAGAAAGAATGAGAAACGACTATGCAGACTTAAAGAAAGAAGCAGAGAAACCAGCAGAAAATAAAATGGACATGTTAGAATTTCTGAACAAAAACTATCCAACTGCTGACGATTTCCTTCTATCTGACGTCAAGAAGAAGTATAAAGAAACTTTCGGCATAGTTAAAACATTCGATGTACTAAAAGAAGAAATAGAAGCTACAAAACTGTTTAAAGTCTCACGAATTCATAACGTTTACCATGTAAAACGCTTATAAAATAACTGGGGTAGAAAAGAGGTTAGAAAACAGGTTAGATCTAACCTTCTACCCTAAAATATATTTTTATTGAATTCAGCAACAAAATTCTGAGTAAAATAATTTTTAGGGCATGTGTCAAACCGTTGAGTTTTCACAAAATTCCAAAAATAACGTTTACCATGTAAAACGCTTATAAAATAACTGGGGTAGAAAAGAGGTTAGAAAACAGGTTAGATCTAACCTTCTACCCTAAAATATATTTTTATTGAATTCCGTACGAAAACAGTGAAATTTCTCTAGACCGACTTTTATCGGCCTTGCATAAAACACATGAAAATCATGAAGCACAGCGAGTAGGGAAGAAACCCCAGTCGCCAAAACTCTATGAAAACAGTGAAAAATAACAGAGTATTTTGACAACTTCAAACAAGTAGGGTAGATGAACTCTTTATTTTTCAAGCTTGACTTTTTACAATTTGAACTTTGTTTGCGTAGATATGAATTCTGAAAGAAGTATGAGGGTCTTGTATGACTTTGTACTTCTCCCATAGTTCATGTCTGTCAAACTTACCTGCCATGGACTCTTTCATAAGTTCCATGAAATCGTCTTCGGACAATCCGGGGAAAAGTACAATGTCAGTAAGTATTCTTTTAACATCCTTACTTAAACTCTTTGCTGTCTGTACACATATTACGACTGAGATGTTAAAGTGTCTGAGCTTCTTAAGAATTCGACACATATCTTGTTCTCTATTCTTAAGCAAAGGATGAGAAGCAAAGTCATCTAAGATAAGAAGACACCTATGAGGGTATGTCTTCCAATCGTAAGATTGCAATTTCTTCGAAATGTATTCTATCTCTTTCTGTTTGTTTCTGAAGTGTTTCTTCTCTAATATTCTCTGCATTTCCTCATTTGGGTCTTTAAACTTAGAATTTATATACTCATTTATAGCATTGTACTTCAAAACTCTTCTTTGGTACTTCTTTATCCAATCTAACAACTCAGTATCCTTTATACATACTAACTTAGACTTCTTTATAATATCTTTGAACGAATTGACGGTTTGGTCAAATTGACCAGAAGTACTACAAATAACAACTAACTCATAAAATGGGTTCTTCTCATCTAGTTCTTGTTGTTGTGCAGCCATTTTAAGATAAGTGAAAGTCTTACCCGACCCAGGTGGTGCAATTAGACCTGTTATACCATTCTGAGCAAATAAGAACTTGTCATGTATAGGCTTTATCTGAGCATTTTCTAACTTCCTCTTGTTCTTGTTTAAAACATTCTCAAATTTCTTGTCAATGTCAGCAAACTTTTTTTCTAACATATTTTTAGAAAAATTAAAATTTTTATCTTTTAGAAAATGTCTAGCGATTTCGCTATCTATATTCGAGACAAACTTTTTGACAGCAAAACATCTGTCGACCATAAAATCTTACATAGTGTAAACAAGAAAGGTGAATTTGTTCTAAAGTTCTGTTTCTGGAATATGACAAGAACCATAAAACATTAAGCAGAGCAGTCTTAAAATTTGTCAATGACAGACTTGTTGACAGAGATGACGCCTCTTGGAGAGATGAAGTCCAACAAAACTTCTTAGAATGCAAAGAAGACACATGCGCCGTTCTTGAAGATGAAATAGAAAACAGAATAGATGAGCTATTAAAGGACAAAGAACTTTTACATAAATATGGTTCGGAGAAATTTGACATAACTCCACCAGAAAAGAAGAAGAGAGAAAAGAAAGAGAAGAAAGTAGAAGAGAAGAAAGAAAAGAAAGTAGAAGAAGAGAAGAAAGAACCTGAACCAGTTCCAGAGAAAAAGAAATTTGACATGTAAAAATAAAATTTTATTTTTAGAACATTTCTGGGTCAATGTCAATGTTCTCTTCCTCTTTAGGAGTAAACACTGGCTTAGACTCTAAAATCTTTTTACCCAATTTACCTTGAACTTCTACAACTTTAGACTCATAATATTCATAGTCGTCTGCTTTCTTTGGTTCATAAGGTATAACAAGTTTGTATGCTTTGCCTTCTTTAAGGTTTGAGAACCTTCTGTCAAAATTTTCTTTGACTGCTAACAAACCTTCTATGTCTAAGTCTTCAAATTTCGCACCATTTTTAGTCACAATAGCAAACTTAACTGGTTCGATGTTCCAAACTTTGCTGAATGAAGACTTTTCAAAATGGTAGAAGTAAACATTCAAATATGTGAATGGGTCTAGTTCTTCTTTAAGTCCTGACATGTACTTGTTTACTGAGATGAATTTTGCCATCTTTTCTATCGGATAAAAAAATATTTTTTTTAAAATTTACTCATAAAAATTTTTCTTTGTATATACACCATTCTGTACGTCTAAAAGACTTTTGACATTTGCCAAGAATGTACGTTTAGACGCTGTCATATAACCATATTCTTGACAATATTGTTTATACGAATCGTACAATGACCTTTCATCTAAACACTCAAAATCAGTTTCATCTATGAACAGTTCATATACACTCTTGTTTGCTTCTAACAATGTTTGTCTCTCTTCGGTATGTGGAATTTGTCTTGGATTGAACTTTGAAATATCTAATGTCATGAAATATGAGAACAAGTGGTTGTAAAAGTCAGATGTCAAAGTTTCTGCTAAGTCGTCAAAATATTCTGTATCTTGCATATGAGAATCTGACGTTCTGACAACTACATATCTTCTGTCAGAACTTTCTAACTTCATCGGAACAGCATTGTTTGAAACCATAATGAAGTTTGCAACATTTTCACAAACTCTTTGGTCTTTATACTTTCTTTCAACAACTCCAACTTTGTCTGTTATAAGACTCTTCAAAGCATCTGAGTTTAAAACTTTTGTTGTATCTATACTTTGAAGTTCATTGCAAACTATAAGTTTCATATTCTCTATTGAGGAGTTAAACTTGCCACAGATGTTTTCTAAGTTTGTCATATTCGGGTTCGAATAACCTTCTAACAGTTTGCACAAAATATCTGTAAAGAATGTGTTCTTACCAGTTCCTTGTTTTCCAATTATAATGAGAGCAGTTTCATTTTTAGCACTTGGATGTTGTAAGATGTTTGCAAACCAACATAAGATATACTCATAAACCTTTCGTTTCCATTGCATATAATTTCTTTGACATGGTCTAACCAAGCTTCTATAATATTTTCTTTCCATTCTACTTGTTCGTATTTATATCCAGTGAAGATAGAATAGAAGTTTGGAGAAGGTGTATAAACTTTATACCACGAACTGAAAAATCTTCAAGTTTTGACAATAAGATATCCCAAGCATCTAACATCTTCATGCCAACTTGTACAACTTTTATTTTCTTAAGTTTCTGTCTACATTCTTGTTCAGACACTATTGTTGCTCTTGGTTTGTTAAAGACAACATCCCATTCTTTCATGACATAACATTCTGGGGCAGAGTCAACATAAATGACTAAACGTTTCAAATTCTCGACTGCTTTGTTATAGTCTCTAAATGGACACATATTTCTGAATGCTTGGAAGTCATAAAAATCTGAAACATCTATTCTGTACATTTTTATAAAAATAAAAAAAATATTTTTTTTTATTCTTGACTTTGTTGTTCATTTGTTGCATTTGTTGTTCTTGAGCTATTTGTTGTTGAAGTTGTTCTTGTAATACAATACTTTCACCAGTTGCATCTTCCAATTCGAAACTTTCTGCCGTCATTGACAAATACATAGGACATAAAAGTTTTACAGGAACAAAGTTTGCGTCAACTAATGTCAACGTTATACTTGCCAAAGTGTTTGAGTTCACTAAGGTTGAAAATTCTGCATTCGAATGAACAATAGGCAAACCAGCAGAGAAAGTATTGTTTATACGCATAAGTATCTTTTGGTCATAGTAGTTTCTGTCGACATTCGAATAACACTTTGAACCTAAGTTTGAAACAATATATAAAATAGGTGTACTTAAAGTCAATGGAATAGACATTCCTTGTATGACACCTTTTCCTGTTATAGGAAACTGTTGGTAGTAAAAACCAGAAATAAGTTTTGTATTATAGCTCATATTGTTTATAGTAAACTCAGTCGGACATCCAAACATAACGAAACCTGCTCTAGTTGCAGCACATGTTACACCTGTACTTAAAGTATTAAATAAGTCAACAAAACCTGTTGGTGGTATATCTGAGTAAGTATCTTCAAAGGAGTATTTTTTACCATTCACAACAATAAAGTCTTCTGGTGTCAAAAAGCAAAACAGGCTTTAGTCGTCATTGTGTTTAAAGTTAGTTTACAATCGTCCTTGAGGACTTTGTAAGTTTGTTGTTATAGAATTATATGACTCAGGGTTTTTAGTCGTAATAGTATAAACCATTATATCTTCTGCCATTTATATATATTTAAAAGTTTTTCTGAAAGTGGAGAAGAACTTCATCTAAACTTTCACATGGCGTTTCTTGAAGTTCTCTGTCTAAGAAGTTCAAATATTTTGTAAAGACATAGAACTTTCCTTTGTCTACACGAACAAACAAAACAGGGTCTTTCATATCGTTCAAAAGTGTGTAAAGTCCTTTACATGAAATAAAGTCTATATTATTTTTCTTCAAACATCTTTCAAGAAGTTTTGACATTTTTACTTAGCAAATAAATTTTAATGAAATGTTGTGGTCGTCAAATATTTTTATGACGTCTGGGAAACTATACTTTAAGTTCAACGTTTCACCTCCTTTCATAACGTATATCTTGTCAATGACATTATATGAAACACCACAGCAACTAATGTCGGGTTCTATTTCTTTGATGTTTATATCGTCTGCCTCTGTCAAAAGTTTCAATAGTTCTTTCAACTTCATGAGGTGCAATGACATATGAGTTCACTTTTACAGGGTTGTGTTCGACCAAGTTTAACATTATACTTAAAGCTTGACAAATCTTCTCCTGAGTTTTAAGTTTGTCTTTCAGTTGTTGGTAGTCGTTTCGAATATCTGCAACAGAACTTAAGTCTCTGCTAACTTCAGGATATGTTGGTTCTTTTACAGGAACTATTGTTATACCATCTTCGTCTTCGTATGGTTTCCCCACTTCAACATCTCTGTCTTTGACATTGACAACAACACTTTGACTGTTTGTTTGAGTTGGTGAATTTAACTTCACATCTGCCACCGCCATTAAACCTTTTGAAACACTTACGCTTCTATTTTTCGGAAATGACATTTTACTTAGAATAAAAAGATGGACGTATTCGAGTATCTCTTCGAATTGAAGCAGAACAAAGTTTACACACACAAACAATACAAATACATTGACAGAATAGTTCTTTATACAAACAATGGAAATGTTATAGAATAGCAGTCTTTGCTGAACCAAAATATTTTCATAAAGCAAAGAAAGTTGGTATAACTGAAATGGTGAAAGTTCTTGACAGACAAAAATATAACAACAAAACTTACAGATATTTCTAAAGGTAAGTTTATACAATATTATGTCAAAACTGGCGTACTGTCAATATTTGACGGAGAGAAGTCAGTTCAAGAACAACTTACTGACCTGCTGCCAAAATCTGCTCGATGGAAGCTGTCGTTATGCCAATCTGAGGAGCCCCAGCAGGTTTCATCGAACGAATCTTCAAAAGAGCATCTTCCGTGAAAAGTGCTATTGGTTTTGTAAACTTCTTTGCTCTCAATTCATCTGGACCGTCTCTGTCACCAGTATATTGTATTTGTACAGTACCAACAGTTGAAATACCACCCATAAAGTCTTCTGAGTCAGCAAATGGAATGCCAAGCCAAAAGTTTGAACGGTCTCCATTTGTATATTGAGTTTTTTGACCTCCTGTATGAGTCCATACTTTCACATATGGCATAATAGAACTTTGCATTTCAGGGTTAATGGTTGTTGTGAAGTTGTTGTTAAAGTTCATAGCATCTAATGTCAAGTTGTATGACCTCATATCCTCAACTGTAGAATATTCTTCTCTTGGATAATATTTGCCATCTATGTTTATATGATATTTAATACCGGGTTGTAGAAACAAGAATAGTCATTTATAGTTCGTCTGAACAGTACAAACATAGTATCTGCATGTTTCATTGCAGTTGTTAAAGCAATATCTGTTCTTGCACCTGGGTCAGCACTTTGGTTTCCAACTTCACCTGCAAAGTCTTTGACAGATATTTGGTGTATAGGGAACATAAGTGGAACTGCAATATATTTGGCAGCTAAAGCATTTGAAATATCTGGGTCCAACATATAGACTGCAAGTCTGCTTTCTATTCTCTTGCATTCAAACTTTTCGCATGTGAACTTAACTGGGTCCCAAGCATTCCAGCAGCATTGAAATAATAGTTTACTTCAGTGTTGAAGTTTGAGAAACCAAAGTCTAAGTCAACTTTGTCTTTGCAAAAGTCACAGAACTTTGGCTCCACCAGTTCCAGCTAAGTAAGTGAATGGGTCTTGTGTTGGTGCAATGACTAAGTTATTTTTGCTTGGAGTAAGTTCGATAGAAATTTTTCCTGCCCAGTTTGGCAAGTATCTTAAAAACCTGAAGATGAGGAAAGATGACAAAGGAACTCTAAGTTTCAGTTTTACTTTAGCTGCTGCAGTTTCTGCCAGAAAGGTTAACATAAACTCCTGGAACGTTAGGGTCAAGTCTTCTTATTTTCTCAATAGTTGCATACTGGTCTGTTTGTTCTCTAGCTTGTGGTTGTACTGAGTTTCTCAAAGCGAACCATTCATAGTTTGCCCATGTTACTGTTTGAACTAAGTCAGAGTTAGAATATATCTTATATCCCATGAAAACTTCTGGAGCATATTGGTATCCGACATAGAAAATTCCATTGCAACCTTTCTTGTCAGACAACT